TTAGCTGGGTGTGGTGGTGCGCAGGTGTAGTCCCAGCTACTCCCCAGCTACTCGAGAGAGGCTGTGGCTGAAGGATGACTGGAGCTGGGGAGGCAAAGGCTGCAGTGAGCGGAGATCACGCCACTGCACTCCAGCCTGGGTGACAGAGCCAGACCTTGTCTCAGAAAACAAACAAAAGACACCTAAGGATAGTGTTGAGGATTGTATCCTCACCAGTCTCTGTGTGCGCGAGGATGGGATCCTAACTTGCATAATCATCAGCTAGCAGACATCGCTGACCTAAGTGCATTTACATTGACTCATTCTGTAAACGTTCACTTCCCTGACTCTACCGACCCTCTGTCTCACCGCCCCCGAACCTCGTTTTCCCTGTAAAATATCCATTACTTGCATACAAATTGCAGTTGAGTTCGGTTCCTGCTGGAGTTTGATTCCCTATTGCAGTAGTTATTGATTGAAATCTGTCCTTTCCACTTTAGTGACCCGCTTTGTTTACCTTTGACAAAGTTCATCATTTTGATTCAAGACATTGTTTCCAGCCCCTGCTATGGAGTTACATTGAGAAGAAAAGCCCTGGAATTTAGTTTCATCCCTAAACTTTCAGTGGATTTTTTCTGCTGCTTAAGAGGTGGGCAAGGGCCGTTGACAATAAGGAAATTTTCAGACGTGTCTAAGGTCCCACAGAGAGTGCTTGATCCACCCGAGCTATCACAGCCCACGGGGTATACACAGTGTATTCTTTTTTTTTTTTTTTTTTGAGACAGGGTCTTGCTCTGTTGCCCAGGCTGAAGTGCAGTGGTGCGACCTCAGCTCAGTGCACCTCCCTACCTGGTTCAAGCGATTCTCCCACCTCACCCTCCCAAGTAGCTGGAGTTACAGGAGTGTGCCACCATGCCCGGCTAATTTTTGGTTTTATTTTGTAGAGACGAGGTCTCATCCTGTTGCCCAGGCGGATCTTGAATTCCTGGGCTCAAGTGATCCTCTTGTTTTGGCCTCTGTTCTGGGATTACAGGCATGAGCCACCATGCCCGGCCCAGATTCCTTTTTTTATTCTGGGCTTAAGATTCAGTTCACCGGTTCTGGCTGTGTGAATGGGTATATCACGACTTCACAAGTCCCGCTTTCCTCTTTACGGAACGGGTCGAATAATGCCTGAGCAGTCACATGGGGCTGCTCTGAGGACTATAGATGCAAGAAACCCTGTGTTCACTGATATATTCGCGTGGGCTTTTTGATAATGATCCGAAAGAAACATGAGGATTATGAATTCTCGGCCCCGCGCGGTGGCTCACGCCTGTAATCCCAGAACTTTGGGAGGCCGACGCGGGCCGATCACCTGAGATCAGGAGTTCGAGACCAGCTTGGCCAACATGGTGATATCCCGGTCTCTACTAAAAACACAAAAAGTTAGCCGGGCGTGATGGCAGGCGCCTGTAATCCCAGCCACTCGGGAGGCTGAGGCACAAGAATCGCTTGAACCCGGGAGGCCTCGGAGGTTGCAGTGAACCGAGATCGCGCCACTGCACTCCAGCCTGGGCGACAGAGTGAGACTCTGTCTCAGGGAAAAAAAAAATTGTGACGTCTCGCTCAGAATCAGCGTCTTTAAGTGGCCACCTCCCCACCCCACCCCCATGCCTCCCTCCTCCTTGAACTGTGTGTTAGAGCACTGCGATCTGGTCCAAACTCCACGGAGATGTGTTGCGAAACGACGTGGGGCAATTCCAACTCTTCGTCTGGGTCGCCACCTAGGATTACTGCACTTTCAGTTACGACCTCATCAACATGGCTGTTGGAAGTCGCCTACAGGAAAAAGAAGTGACACTGAAGGATCACTTCCGCTTCCGTTGGCGCAAGCGCTTTCATTTTTTTCTGCTACCGTGACTAAGATGGAAGCGTTTTTGGGGTCGCGGTCCGGACTTTGGGCTGGGGGTCCGGCCCCAGGACAGTTTTACCGCATTCCGTCCACTCCTGATTCCTTGATGGATCCGGCGTCCGCGCTCCACAGAGGTCCGATCACGCGGACCCAGTAAGTTCTCGGCGCTTTCACTTGCGAAGGGGGAGGGATCGTTGGTCCTGGTGCTGCCCGGCGGGTTTTGAGAGCCCGGGAAGGTGAGGCGGGGACCCCGGAGGCGCGCGAACATACGGGAGTTACGGGCGCGGAGTCCTGGAGAATACAGAATCATTGAAAGTAATTACAGAAAATCAGAAGCGGAGCCCAGTGCGCGGAAAGGCGGCGCAGGCCATCTCCCCGCTCAGCTCCCACCATTCTCTCTCCAGAAACCCCATGGTGACCGGGACCTCAGTCCTCGGCGTTAAGTTCGAGGGCGGAGTGGTGATTGCCGCGGACATGCTGGGATCCTACGGCTCCTTGGCTCGTTTCCGCAACATCTCTCGCATTATGCGAGTCAACAACAGTACCATGCTGGGTGCCTCTGGGGACTACGCTGATTTCCAGTATTTGAAGCAAGTTCTCGGCCAGATGGTGTAAGTCATCCAGAGAACGGGAGAGTGGTTCCCAAGTAGGGAGGATAGTCCCTGTTTTTCATTCCCTTCGACGGCATGGGGGTACTTGATGTTGCAACGGGGCACTGGGAGAATTGTTGGGGGTGGCTGATCCAAGAGTGTTTGCAATAAAGTTTTTGGCATTAGGAGGTGTAAAATGGGGGAAGGTGTGGTAACTTCTTTTGGGGATGGGTGGAGATCCGGATTTAAGTCTCTCCCTTTTCTCACAACCAATTCCTTTTAAGGATTGATGAGGAGCTGCTGGGAGATGGACACAGCTATAGTCCTAGAGCTATTCATTCATGGCTGACCCGGGCCATGTACAGCCGGCGGTCGAAGATGAACCCTCTGTGGAACACCATGGTCATCGGAGGCTATGCTGATGGAGAGAGGTTCATACGAATACAAATAACCTATTTCCTTTACCACCCAAACTAGTGCCTGTGTAGTATCTCTTGTCTCTTTTCCCCAAGTGAATCCCACTTTAACTTAGGCCCCATGGTCCCCTTCTTCAGCTAAGATGAACCTAAGGTGAAATGAGTTTTGACCCATTGTGTCCTGTTAGCTTCCTCGGTTATGTGGACATGCTTGGTGTAGCCTACGAAGCCCCTTCACTGGCCACTGGTTATGGTGCATACTTGGCTCAGGTAAGCAGTGAGTTGAGAGGCGGGAGCAAGGGGAGACAAAAGGGAAAATGTATTAGTGGTTGCTTATTTTTCTCCTGAAGTTCTGAAATGACAGGCTGGGATCCCTGCTGCTGGGCAGATGGTTTTCTTTGTAGTCTGGGGGCTGTAGGTGTTGACACTTAAGATTCCAGTGACGAGATGGCATGTCTGGGACTCGGTAGACATGCAAAGAGAGGACACCCTAGAACTTCCCCTTCAAGTGGCTTTTAGCTTATTATTAGTAAGCAGAGTTCATTCTGCAAGAGGTAGAATGTCATCTTTTCACTCTTTAATGCTTTTTATACCATTGACTTGAGACAACTAGCTTGTTATTCAGCCCAGTATCTCCCATGGTTCCCCTCCCAATCTCTCTAGCCTCTGCTGCGAGAAGTTCTGGAGAAGCAGCCAGTGCTGAGCCAGACCGAGGCCCGAGAGCTAGTAGAACGCTGCATGCGAGTGCTGTACTACCGAGATGCCCGTTCTTACAACCGGGTGAGGAATGTGCTGGGAACCTAATTGGCAGACTCTTGGATACTTGCAATCCCTGGGTCTCTATGCTTTGAAGAACAGATTGCCTCACTTGTGCGACTATTTTCAGATTGGGGAAGACCTCCACCTGACCTTTAAGGACATAAGGGGTGGGCATTACTGAATGCTCTGCTTTCTTCCAGTTTCAAATTGCCACTGTAACTGAAAAAGGTGTTGAAATAGAGGGACCACTGTCTGCAGAGACCAACTGGGATATTGCCCACATGATCAGGTGAGTCTTAGGAAAAAAACTGGTAGCAGATTTTGGGAGCTCTTTGGCTTGCACTGAACTGGACTTTTCTGGGAGGCTCACCCAGGAAAACTGTCTGGATGGGAGAGGGTTTTGGTTGGACAGTGCAGCTATTTTTGGGAATTGATCCCTTTAGGCTTCACAATTTTATTATTCTTTCTTTTTTAGTGGCTTTGAATGAAATACAGATGCATTATCCAGAACGGAAGTTGTACCCTACTTTTAACTTTAAACTTGGCTGGTTCAGACTCTTCTTTTGTAAACTAAATAAATTCTTCAAAATACTTGCTGAGTAGTTTTTGTCTGACTGTGTCACAAGTGCAGAACTGCTGAGTAGTGCCGTGTGGCATCTCCCTCCCTGGTCGGAGAACCCTGAGGCTCTTGTAGCAAATACAGAATTCTCTGCACAGTACAGAAAGACCCACTAGCATCTTCCTTTGGGGCTATATTAGAAGCAGCTTCCTATAGAAGCCAGATTTAATTTTTATGTGCTAACTGGCTTTTGTGTTCAAATTTTTCTCCCAAATCTTCCCCTACTGCAATGTATTATCAAAGAATACAGATTTCTTAATGTTGGCTGTGGTTTTCATTGAAATGCCATCTTAGAGACCGTCTAGTAGAGCTGCTCTGCATCAGGTTGCCATCCCTGGAATGGTTCTAAACCTGAATATTTTAGAGACAAGGTCTCATTCTGTTGCCCAGGCTGGAGTGCAGGGGCATGATCATAGCTCACTGCAGCCTTGAATTCCTGGGCTCAAGCAACTTCCCGCCTCAGCCTCCCAAGTGCTGGGATTACTGGCATGAGCCATCATGCTCAGCCTGAATTTTTTTTGTTAATTTCAGCCCAAATTTTTAAAATGAACACTGTAGGTGAGTCTGACATGTATCCTCTCCAAACTTCAGCAAATTAAAAGTATTATAGAAATTCAGTGAGAGCTGAAGGGAAAACCAAACCATCCCTCCATTTACATTGTCCATAACAACAAACTCATAAAGCAAATGAAAACCATGAGCTTTCAATCTGACACCTCAACACATTCAGTCTCAACACAGAAAATAGTCAATAAATACATGTTTATTGATTAAACTGAATTATAAAAAACAAAAAAAAAAGTTTCCTTCTACTACTAAGCCATGCAGGCAGAGTCCACAAAGACAACTTCCTGGCCAAAACCCAGCTGATCCACTGTTAAGATCTTAAAAAAAATTACCCATCAAGAAAGTCAATCGTGTGCAGAGGACAGGAACCCCAGCTCTGCTAAGGCTGTGGCTGCTGCGGAGACTACCAAAGGGTAGGATTAGGTTGTTGTAGATAGAATTGACCAAATCATAGTTCTTGAACTTTCTCAAAGGCAAAGGCTGACTTCAAAGTCCACAGTCTGTCGATAAAATGGCATCAGGCAAAAAGCTGGGGAAGAGAAGCCCAGATGGATCCTCGGTGGTTTTCAGATGTCAGGGATTCACAAAGCTGGCCAAGTTGCTTCTGGAAGGGACATTTCCAGTTCACTATATTATAGTGTGCTGGGGGGGGGGGGGGGCGCGGCGGTGGAGGGGAGCGAAAAACAAAAAAAGCAGGGTGGGGTGGGAGAAATGGGTGGTAACAAATGTCACACCTGCACCACCAGGCCCATCACATCTTGAGCATCCCCGTCTGTGAAAGCCTATTAAACAGGGTCACCTAGAAAAAAAACAAGTTTATAAATCCATTTCCCCTCATTTTATTAAATGTTCCACTTATGTACATTTTAAAGACGAACCATTTACAAGCTTGTGCAGGTTGCCTCCTTGGCTCACAGGAGGGGAACAATGCTGAAAGCCTCAGGATAAACAGAAGACTTGGTTTTTTGCTCCTTTTCTCTGTATGGTACAGTACATTTTGGTTTATAACCATGAGTACATACAATAAAAAAAATCCCTCATGCAAACTGTAGAAAATTTTCTTTCCTTGATGCTGGCAGTGAAAAGTAAAGATTCATGTCATTTGTGCGCATCCCTGTGTGCAGCTTCTTCCTGTTAGATCCTTCTCTAAGCATGAAGAGAAGTAGGGGAAAAGCCACAGAGTACACTGGATTTCAACAAAGGGTCTTGTCTTTCTAAAGCTCAACACTTAACTTCTTGAACAATTAGCTCGTGGCTGTAGGCCCAGTGATCCCTTCGATAAGCATGCTCTCCATTTGACAGGATGAAGTACAATAAAGCAGGGACTGCCCCTGGGGGCTGGCAGGATGAACACTCGAACTGGGAATGGCTGCCACCCTAAATCTGTTGGATCACCCTCAGTACCTCTTGTTAATAACACCTGTATGATCCTCTGTCCAGAGTGATGGATGGTGTGAGAATGGGGGAAGGGGCTAAGGATCACAAGTGCAAAAAATATTGTTTATGTCATGTTTTGGAGGGAGGGTGGTGAGGAAAAGACAAATCTAGTCATTCTGGATAATTAAATGTGGTTTCATGCATTTTTAAAGCCACAATTTTCTATCTAGGGTTGCTGTAGAAACCAACATCTCTGGAGAGGGAAGGAAAGAAAAGGAGAAGAGAGTTCAGTGGGATTTTTTTTTTTCCATTTTCATTTTTATATAAAAGTGTTAAGACCACAATGAAAAAAGTTTTTTATCCATATATATAATAAACCAGTTTGTGAGCTACATAATTTGTCTTTCCCATCTTCAGAAATGTTCTCACATTGACAATGATTAGATAGCATCATGCCCAAAGACATCGGCCACACAGTAAAACAAACAAAAAAACCCAGAAGTACTATGATACAATTGAGGTAAAAGGGGAAACAAAAAAATTGAACATTCGCCCACAAATAATTTTTTTTTTCTTTTTCTTAATTTTGTCAGAAAAATACCAAACACAGTGATTTAAATTTAAAAAAAAAAGTCACAAAAACCTGTTTTTAGCAGAAGTAAATGACCAATGGGCCAGCTCCTTGGCTCAGACGTGATCACTATTGGTTTTCCTAATTAACAAATCCACAGGGAAGTGTAAGTCAATGTCAGGGGCGAGTGGTGGTGTAAAATTATAAAATATAAACCAAATACCCCACCTGGTATGCCCCCTTTTCCCAAAACCCCTTTACCCTCCCTCACACGTTCCCACCCCTACTTCACACCCCGTCATGACCCAACACTCAAATCTCCATCAGATCTAGGTCAGCTTCTTCAAAGCCATAGAAAGACTCGGTCTCACTTTCACCCTCAAAGAGCTGGTGAAGGCTTTCAGGCTCAATTGTCTCTTCAGGAGATGATCTGGGTCGTGGAGTGGAAGACTCAGAATGTTCCCCACTCAGCTTCAGCTGCTCCTCTAGGGAGGCAATTAACTCCTCCTGCATGTCAGCATTTCTTGTAGGTGAGTTAATGTTGCCATCAGGGCCAGGAAGAACACTAGCCACCAGGAAGGAGCGCTGAACTAGCTCTGGACAGTCCCCAATGACACCTAGCACTTCACCCAGCCAGACAAGCACCAGCTGAAGCAGGACATCAGAATCACATGCAGTATCTGCCATTTCCCGAGCCTGCTCCTTCCACTTTTTATGCAGGAAGTTCTTGACAGTTCTTTTGATGCATACATCTAATGGCTGGATTTTAGAGCTACAGCCTGCTGGGACCACTGCAGGCAAAGTGCTAGAGGCACTAAGGATAGCCAGCACCTCTTCTGACAAGTGAGCACGATGACAGTCCATCACAAGCATGCCTTTGCTGCGCTGGCAAGCCGTGTGCTTCTGCCACACTCGAGTTGACCACAGCTCCATGATCTCATCATCACTGTAACCACTCTCCTTTGCCTCTAGCAAAATGGAGTCTGGCACATTAGCAGGCTGATCCATCTGCCCTCTGTAGAAAACCAGGGTGGGCAGGACAGTGCCGTCTGCCAGAATGGCCAGGACTACATCACACCAAGGTTCCCCTGTGCCCACTGTCTGCAGGGCATTCTCCTTTCGGTCATCACTGCTCAGCACCTCTGTATCCAGGAACAAGGAAATCTCATCAATAGCCACAATCATAGACAAGGGTAAGTCCTGGTTGTGAATCTGCCGTTGCACAAATTCAATGAAGAGTCCTGCATTCTCTGCCACATCCTTAGGTAGGCTGTGGGCCACAGCTCGCCGGGCATGGGGAGTCAGGTGGTGCCGCAGCATGAAACGCACAGCCCACTCATAGGAGATCTTAAACCCCCCTTCCAAAGAACGTCCTATCTTGGTGGCCTTCTGGAACAAGGTCTCCTCGTTTACAGGTAGCTGTTGCTCTCGCTGAGTTAGCACCCACTCAGCCAGTTTCTCTTCTGCCTCAAAGCTCAGATATTTGCCCTCTAGATTCTCCGCCTGGGAGGCCTGGAAACGTCGAAGCCAACGCCGAATCCGTCGCTGGGGATTTCGGAAGTGTTCAGCTGCCTGTTCTGTATTGCAGCATAGAGCAAACAGTACTACTCGAAGCTTCTTCACAGACAGCTGCTCCTTTTTGCCAACTCCACCACTACCACCGCCGCCTGATGCTGGCTCAGGTTCCTGGGTGACTAGGCTCCCTTCATCCTGATCATCAACATTCAGACATTCGGCTCCCTCTGTAGCCAAGGGTGGAAGGGCTGAAGGCTGTGGGTGAGTCGGGGTTGGTGGTGGGGTTGCAGTTGAGGCTGGTGATGGGAGTGCTGGGGCCAGTGGAGTTGGTGGCTCTTCAGGCTCGGCTGGGGTGGCCCCCGCAGACTTCACAGCAGCAGCTTTGTTAGTGGGGAAGGAAGGAGGAGGGTGCATATTCTTCACGTTCCGGTCATGCACTCGGTCACGAGTCTGGCCGTGCCTAAATGGGTGAGGAGCAAAGAGAAGAGGATAAATCTCAGTTCAACTAGGGAACTGAAATAATAATGTAATAATAATAATAACACACACTGCAAACCAGAAATTAACTTGTGAGGTGAGAGTTTTCGTTACCTTGAGTGAGCTATCCAAGTGAGTCCTATGGAAAATCAAACAATAAAAAAAGTTAGCTCAGTGAAGAAATAAGCTTTCCAAAGACAGTGCCCTGGGATTTCAACCTACTACATACAAGTATGCCATTCACAGTGCCCAACTTTCCCAGTCTTATATAAACTTCAGGCTGGAAGGTTTCTAATTTGGTACAGTATATCTCAAGAGTGAACGGGTGGGGCCAGGTAGGCATGCTCCTGACGCATACAGTACGTCCTGTATCTTTTTTCCTCCTCTTGCTCAGCTAATTCCCATCCCTCCTACATACCCCGTGGCAGGATGCTGCTGGATCTGTGAGAGGGGTTGAATACCAAATGCTTGGCCATAGCATCGCCCACAGAGGTAACAAAGGCACACGAAGTGCAGGCCAGCTTGGTTCCACTAAAAGAGAGAATCAAGAATATATAAGATAAATACAGCAGTGACACTTGAGACCATTAAGCTTTGAGGCTTAAGAAAAGGAATGCCCTCCCAAATTTCTCTTTTTTCTAAAATTAATTCACATAACCACCTCCCCAAATAATGAAAAGAATTTCATGTAAAAACCTGAAAAATTTAAAAAAAAAGGGAAAACAAAACAAAACAACAACAAAAAACCCTGAAAAATTAAGATGTTTCCAGTAAGTTTTTTCTTACCTCACAGAATTTTTAAACAAAGCCAAATACTTGGGGCTTTTCCGTGGAACATGATTGCTGAGAAAGACAAAGAAGTGGTTTGAGTTATAGAGCGCTGCTGGCTAAGCTAGAGATCACCAGCCAGTGACAACGCCCCCAACAAGAGACCCTTCTTCAGTGCATCCTATTCTCAACCTAAGCCAGTTTTCCTGTCACTGTGCTTCTTAAACTTCAATGTGCATACAAATCACCTGAGGATCTATTATAATTCACATCCTGATTCAGTAGACTTAGGGTGGGGCTGAGAGTCAGAATTTCTTTTTTTTTTTTTGAGACGGAGTTTCGCTCTTGTTACCCAGGCTGGAGTGCAATGGCGCGATCTCGGCTCACCGCAGCCTCCGCCTCCTGGGTTCAGGTAATTCTCCTGCCTCAGCCTCCTGAGTAGCTGGGATTACAGGCACGCACCACCATGCCCAGCTAATTTTTTGTATTTTTAGTAGAGACGGGGTTTCACCATGTTGACCAGGATGGTCTCGATCTCTTGACCTTGTGATCCACCCGCCTCGGCCTCCCAAAGTTCTGGGATTACAGGCTTGAGCCACCGTGCCTGGCCCGAGTCAGCATTTCTAACAAGCTCCCACCTAATACTGCTGGTCCTTGAGTAGCAAGGTCCTGTGAAATTAGAGCACAGACCATCAAAACCAAAAAATAAAGCCACTCACTCTGCTAGGAGAGAAGAACAAATAGCTCTAAGAGTTGAAGGAGGAAACATTAGGAACAGGGAAGAAAATGAAATGAGTGCTCAAGAATCTGGCCAGGGCCAGGCACGGTGGCTCCTCGAGCACTTTGGGAGGCCACGGCGGGTGGATCACCTCAGCTCAGGGGTTTGAGACAAGCCTGGCCAACTTGGTGAAATCCCGTCTCTACTAAAAATGCAAAAAAAAATTAAGCCAGGTGTGGTGGTGCACACCTGTAATCCCAGCTACTAGGGAGGCTGAGACAGGAGAATCAGTTGAACCCAGGAGGCAGAGGTTGCAGTGAGCCGAGATTGTGCCACTGCACTCCAGCCTGGGAAGAGAACAAGACCCTGTCTCTAACCAAAAAAAAAAAAAAAAAAAAAAAAAGAATCTGAACTTTTTTTTTTTTTTTGAGACAGAGTTTTACTCTTGTTACCCAGCCTGGAGTGCAATGGCATGATCTTGGCTCACTGCAACCTCTGCCTCCTGGGTTCAAGCAATTCTCCTGCCTCAGCCTCCCGAGTAGCCAGATTACAGGCACGCGCCACCATGCCCAGCTAATTTTTTTGTATTTTTAGTAGAGACGGTGTTTCACGTTGTTGACCAGGATGGTCTCGATCTCTTGACCTCGTGATCCACCCGCGTCGGCCTCTCAAAGTGCTGGGATTATAGGCGTGAGAAGAATCTGAACTCTCAAGCTGAAACATTGGTTGAAACAACTTACTTGATCATGTGGTTGGCATAAGCTCGAGAGCAGCAGGTGCTATAGCGACACAGAGAGCAGTGCACATAAGTAGGGAAATGATTAGGGAAGTCTGGAATCTCGAAGCTGCACTCCAGGCATGTCTGCCGGCCCATGACACTCCTGTAGGGAAGAAAAGGAGAATTCTCATTACTGCCTCAGGGTTCCCCAAAATGTAGGATTTTCAGACAAGAAATTCTGCTAAAAAGCTACCAGATCGCATTGTGTATCAGGAATAATTCTGCCCACCCAGCCCCCCACCGCCCAGCACTTAGAAGAAGGCGCTGACATTTTCCTAACAGCTCTCTTCTGGATGCTGCGCTGGACAGGGGGATAAAGGAAGACAGGCAGAGGGTCCGTTGAGGAGGCCAGTGGTGCTGCCTCCTGCAAGGCGCTGGGAGGTGTATCATTAGAGGATACAGGAACAGTTCGTGGCTGCCCTCGGGAAGCCCGGATTGTCACCTGAGAGTCAAGGGAAGGAACAATGAGATATCACCCACACTAAATTTCAGAATACTGAAAATCTCTATTCCTCCCTCCCTAAGCCTATAAAAGACACTGGCAAACCCTTTACCTTGGTGCCTGGTTTCAAGCCCTCCAGCTGCTTGGGTTTACGGAAGGTTTTATGGTGTTGAAGCTTGTGTTCAATTTTGTCCTTGGCAAAGAGAAACTGCAGCCGGCATTTGTTGCAGTGATAAACGTTTCTCTTCTGAAGTGGGGGAGGGGAGGTAAAAAGAGACAAAAATCCCTTAAAGGTTCCTAATAAATCTTCTTTGAGAAGTAAGCAGATAAATGCCAACCACATCATTCTTCCCCGCTTTCTGTTAATAATAAGAGAGTAAGAAAGAAATACACAACATGACCACAAAACCTACCACTGAGAATCATCACCTCCCATGATCCCAAAGAAAGATGGATTCCAGGCCCGGATGACCAAGTTCTCAAACCATCCTTTCCTGACTTATTTTAGCAATCTGAATGAGTGATGTAACCTCTATTTGTATAATATCTTTACACTGCTGACAATTAGACATTCTCCTGGACATTCTTCTTTTTTTAAAGAAAGATAACGTACACAGTAAATAAAAGTCAAACGTTTTTTTCTGTACTCTTCCAAGTTTGCCTTCAACTCTGACACTCAGTCCCTTTCCACAGAAACAACTTATTACCAGTTCCTGAGCATGCTTTCATGGGCAGTCTATACATATATCACAAATACATTCATATCCAATCATGACCTGCCTCGCTATCCCCCTTCCTTTTTTTTTTTTTGAAGACAGGGTCTCTCTTTGTTGCCCAGGCTGGAGTGCAGTGGCATGCTCATAGCTCACTGCAGCCTCAACCTCACAGCCTCCCAAGTAGCTGGGACTACAGCATGTGCCATTACGCCCAGCTACTTTTTGTATTTTTTTGTAGAGATGAGATGTCACCATGTTGCCCAGGCTGGTCTTCAACTCCTGGGCTCAAGTGATCTACCTGTCTCGGCCTCCCAAAGTGCTGGGATTACAGGCGTGAGCCACTGTGCCTGGCCCCCACTTTTTTCCCTTTCCTTTTTTAAAGAGATGTTGTCTCACCATGTTGCCCAGCCTGGACTCCGTACCTCCTGGGCTCAACTGATCCTCCTACCTCAGGCCCTCTTCTTTTTCTCCTTTTAACACAAACGACAGCACTTGTCAATACTTTGCTGTTTTCCCACTTACACATCAGTATATACAGATACGTCTCCTGGTGAGAACATTTTGAGGATTCGGTCTGCCTAGTATTGAAGTCCTTTGAAAGTAAGACCCATGTCTAGGATTTTCTTTAGTAGGGTAACACAGCTCTGCAAGCTTTGGCAGAGAGGCAATTTCCATGCCCCTGTTTGGAAACACATTTGTGGTAGACAATCAGTAGGCACTGCTGTGCAAAGGAGACTATGAGCATAATGGGGTGCGTGCGTATGTGTGAGGATTAAGCACACATGCACCCATCTTGTTCTCCATTTTGAATCCTATTATATACTTCTCATTCTCCTCTAGTGGCTCTCTTCTTGTCTAAAACAAAGTCATACCTTTTCATCTCATAAAAAAATAAAAGCAACAACAAAAATTTTTTTTTGAGACTGATTCTCACTCTGTCACCCAGGCTGAAGTACAGTAGTGCAGCGCAATCTTGGCTCACTGCAACCTCCACCTCCCAGGTTCAAGCGATTCTCCTGCCTCAGCCTTCTGAGTAGCTGGGATTACAGGTGCCCGCCACTACGCCCAGCTTATTTTTTATATTTTTAGTAGAGACAGGGTTTTACCATGTTGGCCAGGCTGGTCTCAAACTCCTGACCTCATGATTTGCCCACCTCGGCCTCCCACAGTGCTGGGATTACAGGCGTGAGCCACCACGCCCAGCCTCAAATAATTCTCTGCCACTTCTTCCTCTGGATTTTCCACCCTGGGTCCTCCTTTTCTGTTGTTGTTGTTGAGACAGTTTCACTCTTTTGCCCAGGCTGGAGTGCTGTGGTGCAATCTCGGCTCACTGCAACCTCCGCCTTCTGGTTTCAAACAATTCTCCTGCCTCAACCTCCTGAGTAGGTGGGATTATAGGTGCCTGCCACCACACCCAGCTAATTTTTGTTATTTTTAGTAGAGACGGGGTTTCACCATGTTGGGCAGACTGGTCTTAAACTCCTGACCTCGTGATCGACCTGCCTCAGCTCCCTGAAGTGCTGGGATTACACTCCCCAACCCCGTTTTTTTGAGGTCGAGTTTCACTCTTGTTGCCCAGGCTGGAGTGCAATGGCAGGATCTCGGCTCACTGCAACCTCTGCCTCCTGGGTTCAAGTGATTCTCCTGCCTCAGCCTCCTGAGTAGCTGAGATTACAAGCATGCATACCATGTCTAGCTAATCTTGTGTTTTTTGTAGAGACAGGGTTTTACCATGTTAGTCAGGCTGGTCTCAAACTCCTGTCCTCATGTGACCCGCCCGCCTCAGCATCCTAAAGTGCTGGGATTACGGGCGTAGGCCATAACGCCCAGTCTTACACTCCCTTTTTATAAGTAAACTTCTTTAAATATATCATCTTCATTTCTTTACCTCTCACTGATTTGTTCTGCTGAAATCTGACTTCCACCCTATGAGTCAATGAAATGGCTCTCATCAATGCTGCTAACTTAAAGGCCTGTTTCTGAATCTCCATCTTGCTTGACACCTTCCTGTAACATACGACATTTTCATCACATCCTTTTCTTTAAAATACCTTCTTCTCCCCAGTTTCCTTAATGTTCAGTGTCTTCTGGTTTTCCTCCTAGTACTATGGTGCTTGCTTTATAGAAAAGAGGCTTCAAATATCCTAAGCCTTCTCTTATTCTCAACAGGGTTGGGGGCCCATGGCACTTAAGTTCAAAATCTACGGGGTTTATATAATGCTGATTCCTAAATATGTTTTCTACAACCCAGGGTTCTCTCCTGGACTTCAGATCCATCATCTAACAGCTACACTTCACATCCTACTGCTAACTCACAATACCCAAACTCATGATCTCCCCACTCACAAATATACTTTCTCTATTGTTTCTATCTCAGCAAACAGTTCCCTCATTCACCCAACTGCCCAAGACCAAATCTTAGGCACTGTTCTTTTTTTTTTTTATTTTTGAGACAGAGTTTTGTTCTTGTTACCCAGGCTGGAGCGCAATGGTGCGATCTCAGCTCACTGCAACCTCCGCCTCCTGGGTTCAGGCAACTCTCCTGCCTCAGCCTCCTGAGTAGCTGGGATTACAGGCATGTGCCACCATGCCCAGCTAATTTTTTGTATTTTTAGTAGAGACGGGGTTTCACCATGTTGACCAGGATGGTCTCAATCTGTTGACCTCGTGATCCACCCGCCTCGGCCTCCCAAAGTGCTGGGATTACAGGCTTGAGCCACCGCGCCCGGCCAGGCACTGTTCTTAATTATTCCACTGCTACCTTCACCTAATCCATCTCTATATCATAAATATCACAAATATTCTGAATATCTCTAAACTTTACCCTTTCTTCATTTCAAAACCAAGAGCCACTACCATCTCTCACCTAAACTACTGAAAAAAGTCTTCTAGCTAGTTTCCCTGACTGGAGTCTTCATCTCCTTTAATCCATTCTCCACAGTGCAGGCAGTATAAAATCTTAACTAAAAGTAAATCTAAACACATCATTCCAGGGCTTAAAACCCCTTTAATGGCTTCCCAATGACTTCTTTTCATGGCTAAAAGATCCTTTATGATCGGTCCCTGCCTAACTTCCAATCCCTCTGTCACTTATACCATACCCTGTCCATCTCTCAATTTCCTGAACCTCCATAATCTTGCTTTGTGCCTTGGGCACACTGCTCTCCTCCATCTTATTTCATCTGGCTCATTCTTCTTCATCCCTCAGGGATTGAACAACATTGCTTACTAGGCGCCCAGAACACCTATGTGATTTTCTATATCCTATACTTCCCCCAACATAGTACTCTTCATGCTTTATTGTAGTTTTCCTTGTTTCCCACTAAATCTCTGGCAACTAGACTACTACATGGCACATAAATGAGTTCAATAAATTTTTGCAAACATATGCATATTATAATCTCTGCCCAAATTATTTGCCTAGCTCAGCCCTGGCCCCAGCATCCATGTTTTGAAAAAAAATAAAGAGAATATGGGAATTGCTTGGTGCCTAGTACCTGGTGCCTCATGTAATGCTGTTGGAATGCATTGCCATTTTTGAAGACCTTCAGGCAATAAGGGCAGAGCAGATGCCGGGTATCCTCATGGATCATCCGAAAATGGACATCTACCTCAGAGTAGAGTGAGGAGCGGTATTGACACACCTGAGTCACATAAGAGGGAAAATAAGGCTAAGAATGAGTGAACAACTGAGAAGCCTTAAAAAAAAAAAGTAGGAACAAAAATTTTAAATAAAAAAAGAGTTTTCCCAATTGCATAGAGATCAAATTATTTTTCTGACTTTGTAATGCTGGGCTACGTTTGTGATAGATTTGGCTATTACTTTAAAAACAGGAAAGGACAGCAAAGTCTGAGAACAATCCATGTTCTGTAACTAAGAAAAATAAAGGCTTTTCTGTGATTTCCAAAGAGCACGTTCAGAAGACAGCCGCTCCCTTAGAATATGCACATGTTCTCAGGCTACTTTTATGTTCTCCTCCTGCATGGAAACCCTGAAGGCAAACCGTGTTTACTCTTTCTTCAGTACCTACTCAGAGTTCCTAAACTAAGTGTATGTAGGAGGTATTCAGCAATATTCATTAGTGGATTCTTTGTATTCTGCCTGAGAGCAAAACGGCTAAAACTCCCTGGAGAAAGGCAATACCTGGCAAACATAAGGCATCTCCCCAGGCTTATGAGTATCCTTCATATGCTGGAGAAACAGTGGCTCACTTTCAAACGCCCACTCACAGATCTTGCACTTGGCTGTAAGAAGAAAAGTAATCAATAAATCCACTTGAAAAGAAGACGAAAGTCCTGCTGACTCACAATCTTTACTTTCTCTGACTCCTTTATTTTCATTTTTAACAGTCAGTAAAATCATAGGTCCCTTCTATTCTTTCTTTAAATGGCTCCACCTTAACATCTGTGTTGTTGGTAACTTTATATAGGTAGCTCAGACTTCTTTCCAAAGGTTCCTTCTAGAGCTTATCTACAAGACATTTTAAATTGGTTACCAATTCTAATGTAATTCAGCATCCTCTTGGCTTACCACTGTTTCCCTTTTTACTTTCCCCATTTCTTCCTGAGCTCAAAATTTAGGCACTATCTTGGACTCCAAACCCTGTATTCTGCCACCATTATTTCAAACTGCATGTAGGAACTGTCGCTTCTCTATTCTTACAGGCAAAAACTTGGTAGTAGCCCATATGACTTCCTGCTGCTAATCAGCTGGCCTCTAATACCTTCTACTCTCTTTGAAATGGTCCATTTTGTCAAGCTTATGAGATAAAATTTTATGATACAAATTAACAAAAATTTTGTCAAGCTTATGAGACAATTTTTGGTAATTTCATGTTGGCCTGTCTGGTCTTGAACTCCTGACCGCAAGTGATCTACCTGTCTTGGCCTCCCAAAGTGCTGGGATTGCAGGTGTGAGCCACTGTGCCCAGCCCCCCTCCCCCTTTTTTTAAAGAGACAGAATCTTGCTCTGTTGCCCAGGTTGGAGCATGACCACAGCTCACAGCAGCCCCCTGAGTAGCTAGGACTACAGTGGCACACCGCCCAACTAATTAAATTTTTTTGTAGGGACAGGGTCTTGCCATGTTGCCTTGGCTGGTCTGAAACTCCTGACCTCAAGCAATCTTTTCGTCAATCCACTTCAGCCCTCTCAAAGAATTAGAGGTGTGAGCCAGCGCACTGGCCAAGTTTTGGTAAGAATTTTAATTGCTACTTTATTTTGAATTACACAGTATGGCAAAAAGAGATATATTATTTACATTTTTCTCACTTTAATGGAATTAAAGATAGGAAAACTGGAAGCTTAAAGCTTTGGGCATTTGTTGGACAATGTCTAACCTTCCCTCACCCCTAGGCCCCTGCACCCCAGCCAAAGAACTATAAATAAGGCTGAAATAATTTTTTTTAAACTACCTAGAACCCTGGATTTTTGAGACGGGGTCTCGTCTGTCTCCCAGGCTGGAGTGCAGTGGCTTAATCATGGCCCACTGCAACTTTGACCTCGCAGGCTCAAGCGATCCTCCCACCTCAGCTCCCAAAGTGCCAGAATTATAGGTGTGAGCCACCGTACCTGGCCAAGTAATTCTTTAAAGCAAAACAAACAAAAGCCAGGGGTTCTTAATCTGGGGGTCTATGGAACAGGCCTCAAGGAACCCTGGTGTTCTCCGAAATTATTTGTAAAGGAGTAAAATGTGTATTTTTCTAGGAAGAAGATTCACACATTCCATGTTTATTCTCAAAGGGGTCTGCAACTCCATTTAGAAACACTGTCGAGATGTACATTAGGTGCTATGAGGACACGGACAAATAAGAAATTCTGCCAAAAGGAATGAGGAAAAGCTGCAATAAGATATAAAAGCTGAACTGTCAAAGAAGAATGGGGCTCAGCCAGCCAGAGAGAGGACCAAGAGAAAAGCAGGAGGAAAGGCAAGTAGGTATGAAAGTTAACCACATGTTCAGGAAACAGTTAACCAGCAACATGACAATATTATCTCCTTTCTACCCACCGCGCTCCCGCTCCCCGATTTGTTTCTCTCTTTTAATTCTTTTTTCTGTCTTAGAACACCTTTAAGCTACCTTTTGTCCAGGCCTTTCTTAGTCCGTTTTCCCTGGGCAATCTTATTCAATCTCAAAGGCTTTTCTCCTAAAGGCTATTTATTAGCTCTATTTTCACAGCTGTCATGCAACATCAATAAAAATACTCATTAAGCAATTTCTAATGTACAAGCATGATGTTAAGATTTGCATGTGTTATTTCCAGAAAACTAGTGAGGTAGGAACTCAAATATAAGGAGATTTAAGAGATCTCTAGTGACCTCTGACACTAGAGTGTCAGTTCTATGGGGTAAGGAGCTAACACAGAAAAAGACTCAAGAGGGAGAATGAACTGATTCTCCATAGTGGCTATCCTAACACTGTCCCTCTGAGCACCATCACCCTAATTCCCTCCTTAACACCGAACACAATCTTCTACGTTGAGAAAATAGGCACAAACAACTACAGCTTCTGCTGGATGTTTTCTGAACTATGGAAGGATAGATCTCTTGTACCTTCCTAAGGCTCATCCAACCTCATCATTCCATGTATTCCAAGATTTTGTCAATTCGTTTTACCTCTCTTGAATCTTCCCCACCCCCGACAGGCTCCAACTTCTAAACATGGTTAGGCCCCCTAAAGCATCCTTCTCTCAATCCTATTTCTTCCTCAGTGTATTCTTTCTCTTCTCCACTAACACAAGATTTTTTGAAATATTAGAATAACCTACATCTGTTACTTTTAATTGAATGCTCAGGAAGGGGGTAATGATGCCAGGAGAAAAAATGTTAGGATATTTGAAGAAATGAAGCTTCAGATAGACACCATGGAAAACAGGAATAAGAACTAATAGTTTTATCCATTTTCTAGTCCCAAATCTCTCTAGTAAAAGCTATGCAACCTCTCCCCTGAAAAATGCACACACACAGGCAAAGTTTCTATATAATTTCAAGGGGCTCACCGGAAACCTAACTACCAGGCAGGTTAGGATTTCTGTATTAGACATAAATACTAAAATACTATTTATCAGGGCCGGGAGCAGTGGCTCATGCCTGTAATCTCAGCACTTTGGGAGGCTAAGGTGGGTGGATCACCTCAAGTCAGGAGTTCGAGACCAGCCTGGCCAACATGGTGAAACTCTGTCTCTACTAAAAATACAAAAATTAGCCAGGTGTGGTGGTGTGCACCTGTAATCCCAGCTACTAGGCAGGATGAGGCAGGAGAATTGCTTCAACCCGGGAGGTGGAGGATGCAGTGAGCTGAGATTGTGCCACTGCACTCCAGACTGGGCAACAAGAGCAAAACTCCATCTCAAAAAAAAGAAAAAGATAAGAAAAAAGACTATGAATCAGACAGGTGTGTGCCGCAGCTCACACCTGTAATCTCAGCACTTTGGGAGGCTGAGGTGGGTGGATCACTTCAAGGCCAGGAGTTTGAGACCAGCTGGCCAACATGGAGCAACCCCATCTCTACTAAAAATACAAAAATTAGTCAGGTGCGATGTCACATGCCTGTAGTCCCAGCTACTTGGAAGGCTGAGGCAGGAGGATTGTTTGAACCCAGGAGGTGGAAGCTGCAGTGAGCCGTGATCCTGCCACTGCATTCCGGCCTGGGTGACAGAGTGAGACTATCTAAAAAAAATAAATAAATAAAAGACTACCAATCAGCATTAGGCAAACTTATGAAAAGAACCCTAGAGTCATAGAAGCTCCTTTAAGTCACCCACTGCTCTTAAACAAGTGTGAATAAAAATGTAATGCTGGCCAGGTGCAGTGGCTCATGCCTATAATCCCAGTACTTTGGGAGGCCAAGGTGGGTGGATCACCTGAGGTCCGGAGTTTGAGACCAGCCTGACCAACATGGAGAAACCAAAAACACAAAATTAGCCAGGTGAGGTGGCGTATGCCTGTAATCCCAGCTACTCGGGAGGCTGAGGCAGGAGAATCACTTGAACCTGGGAGGAGGCAGAGGTTGCGGTGAGCCAAGATGGCGCCATTGCACTCCAGCCTGGACAAGAAGAGTGAAACTCCGTCTCAAGAAAAAAAAAAAAAAAAGGTAATGCTATTTTTTGAGATAGGGTCTTAATCTGTCCCCCAGGCTAGAGAGCAGTGGTGTGATCATACCTCACTGCAGGCTCGACTTGCTGGGCTCAAACAATCCTCCCACCTCAGTATCTTCGTAGCTGGGGCCCTAGCCACATGTCCCCACACCTGGCTAATTTAAAACAAAAACAACAACAAAAAAGAGATAGAGACGTGGATCTCACTATGTTCCCCAGGCTGTTCTCAAACTCCTGGGCTCAAGCAATCCTTACGCCCTGGCCTCCCAAAGTGCTAGGATTAGAGGAGCCACCATGCCTGGCCTGTCATGTTATTAAGATGATACTGTTATCACAAATATAATGATCCACTGATATTGTGGGTACAATTCAGAAAATTTTTAAATAAACTAGGTATTGGATGATATTAAGGATTTCTGATTAATTCTGTTAGATCTTTTTTTTTCTGAGATGAAGTTTCACTCTTGTTGCACTCAAGATAGAATGCAACGGCGCTACCTCGGCTCACTGCAACCTCTGCCTCCTGGGTTCAAGTGATTCTCCTGCCTCAGACTCCCAAGTAGCTGGGATTACAGGCATGCACCACCACGCCCGGCTAATTTTCTGTGTTTTTAGAAGAAACAAAGTTTCACCATGTTAGCCAGGCTGGTCTCAAGCTCCTAATCTCAGGTGATCTGCCCACCTTGGCCTCCCCTAAAGTGCTAGGATTGCAGGCGTGAGCCATGATGCCTAGCCTGTTACATCTTAACAAAGGTACTGTGGCCATATACAAAAAAAAGAGGCCTTATTTTTTAGAGATACATATTAAAGCATTTAGGGGAAAAATATCATGATGTCTACAATTAATAAACAATTCAGAAAATAAAAGAAAAAAAATCCCCCAAAATATTAGTATTTAAAAATAAGCTACTTTTTGAAAAGATATCTGCACTCCCATGTTTATTGCTGCACTATTCACAACAGGCAAAATATGGAATCAATCTAAGTGCCACCAACAGATAAATGGATAAAGAAGATGTGGTATATATACCAAATGGAATATTACAGCCATCAAAAGAATGAAATTCTGTCATGCAGCAACATGGTCATTAGGTTAAGTGAAGTAAGCTAAACACAAAAAGACAAACATCACGGGTTCCCACTCATATGTGGG